CGCCAAAACTGAAATATGATACCCCTTCTCTCCTCCACTGCCCCGTGAATTTTACCAGGCAGGATAGTAAACTCCCTGTTTACTTATCTTTGGCTGCAGCAACTAGGTAAGTTAGTAGAATCTACAATTTTCTCAATGTGTGACCACCTCATCTATTTCATATTTGGGTCTATGCATAAAGGTTAAGAGAGACAAAACACTCTCCACAAGATGTATTCCTGCTGTCGGCAATTTAATAGGAAAAGAATTCGAACGAAAACAGCAAGTGCAGATTTATTCTAAGTCCAGTGAGAGAAACCTGACACGGACTACAGAAATATGCGCATGTGACTTCGTTATAATAATGTAGTCTTTGTAAAACATCTTATCCACCAAGAGACGAGTCATTTGGAGAAAATTTTAGATGCGCATATTACATGTGTAAAATAACAAAATGTTTGTCAACAAATTTGTTTTGTCGACACTCCTCTCATGGTACATGTTGCATTACACGTGCATAGCTATAGCCATGGTACACGGCATGGAGTCTGTACTAGGAAATGTATACGAGTTCTCTACACTTGAGAGAGTTGGAACTAAACAATTTATAAGTTTAGAGTGGTGTCGTTTTAGAAATATGCCTGATCGATTAAATAAACATGTTAATTTATGGGCGGAAAGGCTTGCAGCCAATCACAAGAACTGGAACTCACATTTTTCGGCAAAATTGGCCGACCTAAACAAACAACATATATTCATCATCGCCACTGGTTTAAATACGAAAGCTATTTCCAGCAAAATACAAGATGTCCTTATTGAAAAATGTCTGAAAAGCTGGCAGGAACTTTTATGGTAAGATAACGTTCACACTGGTACTAGCAAACTCCGTACGTATTGGATTTTAAAAGATTGTTATTGCTGTGAAAGCTATGTCAAGAGCTATATGCCCCGAGTTACAGATCTGCCTTTACAAAACTTAGTTGTGGTATTGCACCTTCAAGAATCGAAGCTGGGAGATATATCAGTGTAAAGGTTGAAGACAGAGTGTGCTTTAATTGTAATGATTATCTTGAAGATAAAAAAACATGTTTTATTCCCATGTCCACTGTATTATAACCTAAGGTATACACTATTTACGGGTATAACGGCTAAAATGTCTAACTTTTTAAACCTGTCTAGCAATGAGAAATTGTGTGTCCTTTTTAAACATGAGGTACTAGTATATGTCACTGCCGTGTCGTCTCTCATTATTTTATGTGAGTGGCGCTGTATTATTATTTTTGTATAAATGCCTAATTTATGCATGTTTTTATGGTGGAAGCGAAAATAAAATATCTGTCTGTCTATCTGGAAGGAAGGAAACCATTTCTAAGTTTAGATAGGATGTGTTACCGAACTACCCAAGCTCTGAGGCTTTCATACCAACACGTCCACCATATGATAAATGTTACAAAGACGCTAGGGGTCGTCTCAAAAACAAAACGGGAAGTAAAGGATATTAGACAGCTTTGATACATACAGTGCACAGGCTTTATGAGCAGAAGGTACCCCCGATAAGTAGGAGAATTCGGGAGTAAATAAAAGACATAATTAATGTTTCCCGGACTACATTAATTATTGCTCTCCACGAGATGGGATTTCCATACGCTGCACGTGGCGATGACCGATCAGTCATCAGGGGGAAGTATTCCATGTTGTCAAATAGATCACATGATCTCCGCACCATTCACGACTATCGCTGTCAGGGCAACCAGAATATTTACCTTGATGAAACCTGGGTTAATAACAATCATTCCACAGACTACACGTGGCTACCGTCAGAGGGACGAAAAGCACCCTTTGTACCATCAGGTAAAGGTAATCAGGTCATTGCTTTGTACGCCGGAACCCGTGATCTGTGGCTTGTTGATGGCTAGTTTCCCAGGCGAGAAGGAAAATTGGTGATGATCATAAGAAAATGAGAGGTGATATGTTCATAGATTAGTTGGAACATCAGCTACTGCACAATCTAAACAGCCCCAGTGTTGTTGGCATGGATAACGCCAGTTATCACAACGTCCGGGAACTAGATACTGTCGCGCTAACCATGAGTAGTCGGAGAGAGTGAGTTGGGTTTAATCCCCGCTTTTAACAGTATTCCAGTTATATCGCGGCGTGTCAGCTTAATGTGGGAGGAAAGCCCGAAGTGAGGCAGGTCTCAGACGTTTACCACTTCGGTGAAACCCATGAGCACGGGTATGGTGCTGACAAACCTAGAAACATAATAGGGGCGAACCGAGATTCGAACCCACAATCATAGGTTTCTGGCGTGCCCAAGGGACGCAACTATGCACAGCGAATCGCGGCGCCTTAGACGACTGGGCCACCAGTGCCCCATGAGTAGTCTGAAGGCGACCACGCAGGAATAGCTGACATCTTGCAATGTCGACTTCAGACCATCTGAAACGAAAGTTCAACTCATGGAGAAAATTCGCCTGAATAAGACCAGCAAAGAACAAGACTGTAGTCCTGGTGGCACAACACGGTCATGTTGTCTTACGTGCGCCAGTCAGACATTGTGAGCTCAACCCTATTGTGCATATCTTGGCTCACTGTGAAGGGTTCGTGGCAAGACATAACACAACATTCAAACACACACATGGCAAAGGGGTGATCATCACAGCCTTTCCTAGAATTAGACTAGAGGTATGGCAAAAGGCTGAAGATCATGTTTTGAAACCCAACGTCAGTTCCGCCAACGTCACGGCGTAGTAACCATAACTGGAATGCTGTTAACAGCGGCGTTAAACAAAACTCACTCACTCATCTGTAGAACAACAAATATTTCTTGATTAAAAACCCAAACCTTCCAATACTCATCCCGTTTCGTAGCTTTTAATTATTCCATCATTTTCCCAAGCGAAGTAATGCAATACATATCTTAATTATCACCACGTCAATGCATTTCTCAATGAAGTACGATAACAGCTGGTCAGGCTCGCTGACTTGGTTGGTGCACGTCATCGTATCCCAATAGCGTAGATCGATGCTCATGATATCAATCACTGGATTGTCTGGTCCAGACTCGATTATTTACAGACCGCCGTCATATAGCTGGAATATTGCTGAGTGCGGCGTTAAACAACAAACCAACTAAGAACAATAACAACACTATTTTGAGACAACCCCCGATTCAGGTTCACATGTACCAGTGAGAATGCACGGGCCGGTGTGAGGTCGTCACTTCGGGACAGGTGTTAGGTGATTACATCCGGTTATAAGTCGTTTCATACATACATGACAACACGCGGATATTTTCATCATTTTACCTGTAAATGTAACTTTCAAGGCTAATCACAATGTTAGGACAGGCTATATTAGGTAGAATCGTGTTTTTTTATATATTATGCTATTTTCATAGCCCTGTTTTTCATATTTATCAAATGAAGCCAGGAAAGCATTTTCCTCGCATTTCCGACGTAACTTCAGCAAACATTTACTAACTGGTTAGTAAAGTCTACTAACAGGTTGGTGTCTGAGTGGACAGTGAAATTCACTCCGTTGGCTAACTTGCTGACTATTTTTGTCAATGCAGTCTCACTGGACTATTTTATTTCTAGCTCGGGTGGGTAAATCAGTGGAAGGGAATTGTCTATTTGATGCTTCTTGTCTAAAAGTCTTTACCCAAAACTTTACATGGACGTTATCAATGAGGAAGTCCAGCATTTCAATTACTGTTTTCTCAGTACACTTCATATGGCATTCGCTTTCATTTTTGACAAATTGACCTGAAGCTCTCAAGAGAGATATGTGTTCACCACATTTTTTAACAAAAGCCCCATGGATCAAGGAATGAGGTTTTCTCTTAAACTTGCCATGTGGGATAGTGGAGTACAAAGTTGAAAATTCAAATGTTTTGACAGAATTGAACTTGGTTCTTTTCTGTAACTGTAAAAAGTCAAGCAAATGTTTTGAGTTTTTGAGAATCCCCATGGCATTAATTCCGCTTGACTCACATACTTTCTGTGAATATAAAGAAAGTCCTTCTTTGAGTGTATTAAGGATTATGGTTAATCTTTGAGACAGGGATTAGGTGGTACATTTGCTGGAACCAGCTATATATCTGTCTTTGTATGGATTTCTATGGAGCTTTAGAATCCGGTACTAACAAGGAATGGACATGTCTTCAAGTTTTTGAGTCAAGTCAAAAGTTGTATGGTTTTGGCAATGTTTTCCTTAGTAAACATACTGGCCTTATATGTGGCATTATTTGAAAACAATTAATCTAGTGATACTTACAACAAAGAAAACCGTTAGGGATCATGAATATTTTTGGGGATATGTTCATGAAATTGTGTACTCAGTCATCTCTACAAAAACACATCCCCAAAACTATTCATCATTCCTAACTTTTTTGTTCAGAATATTATGTGCTTGGAATATTGACTTTCACACATGCGCCGGATATTGTGATTGTATGTATGAAAACAAGGCAAGAAGTGTTGCCTTGACCTTCATGACAATTTACCATTGCCCCAGGCATATCCTGCTTTTGTTCAATTATCGTATCAACAGAGCGCCATGACGAGTACAACGTTTACGATAATTCCAATTTAATAAGCCCCGTCTCAATTATCTCCTCGTCACGGAACTGATTCCACCGTATGAAATTACGGATGTCTGTGAAATAGTCTGCATTTAACACTCCCGATTTTCATATTTATATGATATACCATATTTTTTTGTTTTGCTTGTGTTATAAATATGGAGAAAAAATGTGGTATTTATTCTTTTTGTATGGGAATAAGGGCTCATTCGTGAAGGTCTCTGCAATCTGTCCATGTGATAATGACAACATGTGAGCCGTAAATTGGCTGCAATTATCTTACCGTCACAGACAGTGGCCCGATAACTTGATAACCCGTGTCATTGATGGTGACTCGATATGTCAGCAGCACGACTATAAGGGACAGCATCTAACAGCTGGGTGACACTGGAACAGGACCAAGTTGCATGTAAGTATCACACTGCTTCACTTTAGCGTTAGACCCGTTAACATCTGGGGTAGAATAGGTCTTCAGCAACCCATGCTTGCCGTAAGAGGCGACTATGCTTGTCTTCAGAGACGACTAACAGGATCGGGTGGTCAGGCTCGCTGACTTGGTTGGTGCATGTCATTGTATCCCAATTGCGCGGATTGATGCTCATGATGTCAGTCACTGGATTGTCTAGTCCAGACTTGATTATTTACAGACCACCGTTAGACCTGCATTACTTCAGGCTTTGCTCGACCGCCTCTGTGGTATAGTGGTAGAGCTTCGATCCCCGGCGGCGTCATACCAAAAGACGTTATGTCAGGCGCTCGGCATTAAGGGGCTGAAACAAGGACTAGTCGGCTCGGAGTCAGTATACTGTGTTTGAGTGGGTATTCATGTTTAACTCCGGCATGGTATCTCAGTGAGCTAGCACTATAAATCGGCATCAGTCCGGACTAGTACAAGCAGCCACACACACTCACACACACACACACGTCGCTATATAAGTGCAATAATCTTGGGACCGACGTTAAACCCCATGTCACCTCATCTCGCGCTTTCCTCCCATAATAAGCTGACGCGCTTTCATATAACTGAAATACTGTTAAAAGCGCCGTTAAACCCAACTCGCTCACTCACTCTTAAAGGGAAAGTGACACGAATTCATTTGACAACAATGCACTTACTTATTTTTTTGGCACACTCGATTATAAGTTTGTCTAAACCAGTTGAGCACACTCTCACTCTGAAGCTGTTCACTCTCGATGCTGTTCAATCGAGCATTATCTAGCCCAGTTGGGCAGAGTCTCCCCTGTGCAGCTGTAGTTTCTGCATTTTTTAAAACTTCAGGCTGATATTACACTGAAAGGCAAAAGAAACGTCATGTGGATGTATCATATAAATATCTTTATTTTCAAATGCTTATATATGTAAGTAAAGACATGGGAGAAAGTCAGTGTTTGACCCACATGAAATTAACAGTCTGGGGAACGTTATTGCGAATTGTGATTTTGGGGAGGCACCAGAAGACAACACAGCTGGGGGGTTCAAAATCAGTACCTGGTGTGGCCACCACGGGCGTTGACTACAGCCACACATCTCCTGTACATGGAGTGGACTAGCCTGTTAATGAAGGCCATTGGGATATGGGCCCATATCCTCAGGAACGCTACACGCAGTTCTGCTGCAGTTGTCGGCCTTGGGCGTACGTCGTTGAGTCGGCGTTGGATCTCATCCCACAAGTGTTCAATGGGATTCAAATCCGGACGGAGGGCAGGCCAAGGCATGATTTGGATGTTGTGCTGCTGGAGGAAGTCCCTGCTGACTCTGGCAGCGTGGGGACGGGCGTTGTCTTGCTGAAAGGTATGGTTTTGATGACGGGCAAAAAAAGGCACGATATGGGGTCTGAGGACTTGTTCAATGTAGCGGAGAGCTGTGATGCCATTACCCCTGCCTGGACCAATATTCTGAAAGACCACAGGTCCCGCTCTCTGGTTCAGTCCGATTCCACCCCAAACAATGATGCTTGGGCCGCCCCACGCGTCTCGTTCCATAACGTTCGCCCCTCCTTTGCCAGACCCTGACTCTGACATCCACCGTTGAAACACAGTAGCGACTTTCATTAGTGAAGATGATTCTTCTCCATTGCTGTTGACGCCAATTTTGATGCTGCCTGGCCCATTGCAGTCGGGCCTCTCGGTGACGATCTCTCAGGATGGGTACACGAGCTGGACGGTGGCACGAGATGTTGTTGGCAGTTAGGCGACGTCGGACTGTACGATCACTGATGGCACGCTGGTGGTTGCCAATGGTTTGCCGAGCTGTTTCAGTGGCCAATTGGAATCGGTTCTGCAGATGTTGGCGTATCATGAACCGATCTTGTCTGGGAGTAGTGACAAGGTCGTCGTCGGTGGTGTTGGTGGTGTTTTGGCGATGTTGCAAACGATATATTGTTCTGACGTTGACATTGAATGCAAACGACCTGTGCACTCTGGCCTGCTTTGCAGTCTTCCGATCGCTTGTTGTCTCTAATCTTGGTATGGCTGATGAATCGAAATAACGAAAGCCAGCTTAACAGTTTTGGGGGTCTTTTATACCCATACCATACACGTTATGCACGTGCATCATGTTTTTGACAAGACTTTTCCGCAACTGAGTCCCATTGCACTTTTGTAGGCTGCGTTTGGGCAGTTGTAAAATGGACTTTAAGGCAACAAAAAGAAGCATTAGAACGATTAATGAGTTTATTAACCACAGAACATGTAACTGCCAGTGTCTGTTAAGTTTCATCAGTATTTTCAGAAGTGACGTTTCTTTTGCCTTTCAGTGTACCTACACCAGTGATGAATCCCCGCCTCGCGCTGACTCTGGTCGTTCTGTGTTTCCTGGGCACCGCGACCGTGGAGGCGTACGGTAAGCTAATACCCAATGATGACATCTTGCGTTGCAGGATATAAGTGAGTATGGTTTTACGCCGCTTTTAGCAATATCCCAGCACTATCACGGCGGGGGTCACCAGAAATGGGCTTCACACATTGTACAATGTGGGGAATCGAATCCGTGCATTCGGCGTGACGAGCGAACGCTTTAACCACCTGTCTACCCTACCATCCCTTGTAGAACCACAAAATTTTCTTCATATAAAACTGATTAAGGACAAGAATACTGGCTTTGTCTTTCGTATTCATCATTAAAATTATGTCGGTAGACTGCTTCGTCATGTTCGAATCCCAGAGGGACGATGGGGTATCCTCGTGAAAAAAAAACATTGGCTCATCACACTGAAAACCCAGGTTCGATACCGTAACAGGGTCCAATGTATGAAGTCTAGTTCTAGTGCCCAGCTCCTGCCGTGATACGACTGGGGTATTGCTAAAAGCGGCGTACTCTACTCATTCTGAGATTCGAGGGGGCACGGGTGGCCCAGTCGTCTAAGGCGCCGCGATTCGCTGTGCAGAGTTGCGTCCCTTGGGCACGCCAGAAACCTATGATTGTGGGTTCGAATCCCGGTTCGCCCCAATTATGTTTCTAGGTTTGTCAGCACCATACCCGTGCTCGTGGGTTTCACCGAAGTGGTAAACGTCTGAGACCTGCATCACTTCGGGCTTTCCTCCCACATTAAGCTGATACGCCGTGATATGACTGGAATACTGTTAAAAGCGGCGTTAAACCCAACTCACTTACTCACTCACTCACTGAGATTCGAACTCGATCCTTGGCCCGTTATCACCATGCGTGTGCTTGTAGGTTTCATCAAGGTTGTCAACGTCGGGCTGTCCTCCCAGGGATAGATCGGAATACTGGCCAGAGCGGCGTAAAACTAAATTCACTCGCTCACATAGTCTTCTTTCGTCACCTCAGTTTTGGTCTTTGGCTTATGGCGATCTATAGCCCGTTTTCATAATGCATTTTTATGAATTGTGATATACTTTTATGATTCCCTGTGATAAGTCTAGTTTTTTTACTGTCCGTTCTTGACAGGCTTTTATAGTTGTAAATGTATTTATTATGTACAACATTTTAAATCACGATATGGCTGAAATACTTCCGATAAATTTTAACTCACTAACTCTTGGTCAAATCAACCCGTGTTTGAAACATGACTTATTATGAGGTGTGTGTGTGTGCGTGTGCGTGTGCGTGTGCGTGTGCGTGTGTGTGTGTGTGTAACATGAATACCCCACTCACAGTATACTGACTCAGAGCCGACCAGTCCTTGTTTTAGTCCCTTAATGCCGAGCGCCGGACAGGGTAACACCAAGTACCATCTCTTAACGTCTAATCGTATGACGCAGTCGGGGATCGACCTCACGTCTCGGGAGAGATGCTTTACCCACGGAACCACGAAGTCGACCTGACTTGTTATAACCTATGATATTAAACCAAGATGATAACGTCACGCTATTTGATTCTGAAATAGGAATTCACAGATCATTTCACACGTAAAAATGACGCAACGATAGGTCATTATTCAAAATTATACAGAAATTATATATCAACCATAATATGATTTAAATCGGGGAAATCACTCGAATTTGTTCATTCCGGAAGTAATAGATTTTCTTGTTTCTCAATCACGTCTTCACATATGCTACAGACTGTTCCGCAGCGCCTGTTCGCCGTACCTGCACGTCCAACAGTGACAAGAAGCGGATATTCTTTAACACCACCTCCCAGAAATGTGACACTTTCGACTGGCGCACCTGTACCACAGAAGACAACAGTTTCTCTGATTGGGACTCCTGCACACATGCATGTGTCTGCCCCCTTCCTCCAGCTTCCACGCCGTGCGTTTCCGGCCCCGGCGTCTACCACGGAAACTACTTCTTCAACACAGACTCCAACAAATGTGCGACGTTCCCTGCAGGACACCAAGGCTGTAGCCAAAACCAGAACGCCTTCGAAAGTGAAAGTAGCTGCAAGATGTCATGTGTCTGCAACATGCCACGTGCTTCTGGCTCCTGCAGTGGCAAAGACAAAGCCTACTACTTCAATGGAGCAAGGTAAGGGGACAATTTAGTATTCGAGGTAGTTGTTGGGCGAGGGGATTCGTGTTTAAGACTTAATAATTGTTCGGTGGCTGCTTGAAAACATGCATTTTTTTAAAGAAGGAGCCGAGGATTTTTTTCATTTTCACAACACGTGAACATCAGGACATGGAGGCACGGGTGGCCCAGTCGTCTAAGGCGCCGCGATTCGCTGTGCGGCCCTTGGGCACGCCAGAAACCTATGAGTGTGGGTTCGAATCCCGGTTCGCTCCAATTATGTTTCTAGGTTTGTCAGCACCATACCCGTGCTCGTGGGTTTCCCAGAAGTGGTAAACGCCTGAGACATGCATCACTTCGGGCTTTCCTCCAACATTAAGCTAACACGCTGTGATAAAACTGGAATACTGTTAAAAGCGGCGTTAAACCTAACTCACTCACATCAGGACATACATTCTTCAAGGCCTCAGTAAAGCTTTCAAAATATTTTATGGTGGACACGTGGAGGACATTTCCAAATTTGACGCATCAGTGGCAAAAATTATGCCCATTGCAATTTCCTATTGACTTGAACCATATATTCTCGGGTTGTTTTAGGTGAATAATTGACTTGCCTTTGCATGTGTTTGTGACGGGTGTCATCGATGGGGCAGTATGCGCTAGATTTTTCTCAAACCCCTAATATCATCACTAATTGATAGTGATTCATAAACACATGCTCGTGAAATAGTCATCTTCCCGAGGCAAGAGAGTTAACTGACTTTAAAAGTCCAGTTTCCACCCTTGCCGCACTAGGCTTGAATTACTGGGTTCGATCGTAGCGCCACCAGTGGCTATTACCAGTTATGCCCCTTCTAAGCCTCTCCTATGTACCAATCAAATTCCACCTCTCGTATCACTTGCGTTTGCTTCACACAAAATGGTGGCGCCCCGTCAGGACGATCTGATCGATAATCAAGATCTACATTGTGATAAAACGGGTCTTACATCGCGAAATGCATCAAATCACGTGAGTACCTTGATTAGAAACATGAAAAGATTTGGAAAATATCTGCTGACAAGTTGGCGGTACACATGCTTTGCAAATCCTTCAATCGACCGAATTCTGCACGACAGTTTATGAACCAGATTTCGATTTCGGTTCGCGATTTTGATTGGATTATGCATAGACTCGTTAGTCCAGCCAACATGTAACTCAATAATACCAGCCTAGTTCGGCAAGGGTGGAAACTGGACTTTTATAGTCAGTTAACTCCCTTGACTCGGGAAGACGGAAATAGTCGGCATCGTACAATCGACTCTGCTGTTAGCAGATATTTCTTATGAATATGGAAATGGCTTGGTAGCTATTGTTCCAGTATCTCTACACTCCGTGTTCCCTAGGGCCTTAGGGTTATAAACTTAAAACCTAAACCAAAAAGCAGTTTTAGATCTAAATACGGACCATGACCGCACGTGTTATCAGCCATACTTGTTAGCAGTCATTAACAAAAAAAGAAAAACACAAGAAAACAAAAGTCTTTACGGCCATTTGTCATGCCACGCCTTTCAAATGTGCAACGTGAACGTGCCACCGGCATGTTGCAGACGGGAACGTCCGTACCTGAAGTCGCAAGGATGATGGGTTGTAGTCGACGGACCGTTTATGTACAGACGTGTCTACAGAAAACGGGTACCACCGCTGATCGCCCTCGGCCAGGTCGACCACGTGTGACGTCATATGCAGAGGATCGTCAGATTGTCTTACGTCATCTCCGTAACCGAATTTTGACGGCTACATCAACCAGAAATGAACTGTTTAGGGGTAGACTGAGTGCGCAAACTGTTCGAAACCGTCTGTGAACTGCTCACCTTCAAGCACGACGGCCATACTGCGGGCCGATTCTGACTCAATTACACAGACGTCAACGTCAATTGTGGGCACAGTGACACTTACGATGGACTCAGAGGAATTGGAATCAAGTCGTCTTCAGTGATGAATCCCGATTTAATCTTCGATTTGCTGATGGTAGGGCGAGGGTGTGGAGGCGCCGTCATGAACGTTACGCCCAGTGTTGTGTACAGGAAGTTGACAGATTTCGAGGCGGAAGTGTCATGGTGTGGGGTGCTTTCTGTGGCAATGCACGGTCCAGGCTTCTTGTCATCCGTGGCAACCTCAACGCTGCTGCTTATCGCGACCAGGTACTGGCACCAGAACTTCTGCCTTTTATGGCAGCACATGGACCAGGTTTGATCTTCCAACACGACAATGCCAGACCCCACACAGGAATTTTGACAAGGAATTTCCTTCAGAATGCGGGAGTCAACGTCATGGACTGGCCGTCAAGGTCTCCCGACCTCAATCCCATCGAACACGTCTGGGATGCTCTTGGCAGAAGTCTGCGCACTCTCCAGAACCAACCACAGAATTTGCAAGATCTTGGCACCATTTTCCAGCAACAATGGCGTCGTCTTCCCAATCAAGTGTTCACAAGCATCACAAGGTCCATGCGGAGGCGTTGTGTGGCAGTTGTCAACGCACATGGTGGCCATACACGCTACTGAACTTGTGTGCCATCAGATTCTCGTGCTTGGGACTTATGATTTAAACTGTTGATGTTATTATCGAATACTGTAGGTGCTTGGAACTAATTATGGTTACCACCGTTAATTAAAATCCTTCTTTTGACATGAATGATTAAAAATTGCCTTCTCTGATACATTTGTCCGTTGTATATCATATATGGGATTACTTTTAAAAATGTGAAGTTTATAATTTGACTCAGTATATATGAGAAACCTTATTTCTCCAAACACTGTAAACATACTTTCAGATATATTTAAGCGATGAAACTTGGCAAAACTGATCAAGGTTGAAATTACGGTGTCAAATGTTCTTAAAGTGAAACACAACACTAGTCTCTGAGAAAATGGCATCACAAGTCAGTATCTCGTGTGTCCGCCATCTGCATTGATGACTGCCGTGCAACGTCGATACATGGAATGGATGAGGCGGTTGATGAAGCCATAGGCACTTGAGCCCATACTCCGAGGAACGCCTGACGCAGTTCAGCTGCAATTATCGGCCTTTATCGGACGTCATTCAGACTCTCTCTCTTTGCCATCTGCTGTTGAGATACAGTAACGGCTCTCGTCAACTTCTCTTCTCCAGTGCTGGTAGCGCCAATGCTGGTGCTGTATGCCCACTGTAGACGGACCCGGCGATGACGTGGTGTCAGAATGGGTCCTCGGTGTGGCCTGTGACAGTGGAGGTGTCTGCTCGTCAATCCTCGACGCACGGTGTCCGCACTAATGTGTCGCTGGTGTGTCCCCATGGTCTGTCGAGCAGTTTCCGCAGCAGTAACAAAGCGACCTTGAAGATGCTGTCGCACAATCTGACGATCCTGACGTCAGGTGGTGACCCTTGGTCTTCCAGTACGTGGTCGGTCATCTATAGTGTTGGTGGTCTGGTACTGTTGCTGGAGCCTGTATATGGTCCTTACGTGGACTTGGAATTCCTTGGCTACTTGCCAGGCGGTTTGTCCAGCTTGCAATCGTCCAAGTGCTTGGTGTCTCTGATTTCTTGTCAATCTTGGCATGTGGTAGCAATTCAATAACGAATGAACGTTATCCGATCTGGGTTGATTTTTATAGGGCAAGAAATGGAGGAACGCATGTGCATTTCAATTTGCACGGAACTCACGTGCATCGGGTTACCATGGCGGTTGCCGTAATGCGTTTGGGCGATCGGTTTTATTGTCATCTGGTTTGTTTATTTTTGAAACTTGGACAAAAATTACCCAGATAATTAAATGAAAACTTTTCATGCAATGTTACTTGGGGTGACGTTTCTTTTGCGGTTCAGTATATATTATGAGGCGATGGGGTAGCCTAGTTGTTGAAATGTTTTCTCGTCACGCCGAAAATCCGGGTTGGATTCCTAACACTGGTCCAATATTTGAAGCCTATTTCGGGTATCCCCTTCCGTGATTTAGCTGGAATATTGCTGAACGTTAGCGTTAGCGTTAAACCACACTCGCTTACTCATACGTGATGTTATTTCTCAGTGGAGAGTTGTCGAACCTAGGTGGGCCAGAAATCAATGCTCGTGGGTTCGAATCGCAGATTCGCCCCCATTACCATCCAGTGCTTATGGGTTTCACCAAAGCGCTACAGGTTTGAGATATGCATCATTTCGGGATTTCTTACCACCTTAATCAGACACGCTGTGATCCATCTGAACCACCGTACAAAACTGCGTGAACTAACTAATTGTAATTCAATCTGTTGTTAAATATCGATTAGTTTGTTGTTATAATTGTAGGTATCAGGTTGCCCATATTTCAAATTCATTATTCTTTATTGTGACAGCAAGCGATGTGAGGAGTTCACGTACAGTGGGTGTGGCGGGAATGCGAACAGGTTCGCCAGCAAGGAGGAGTGTAAGGAGCAGTGCCTGTGCGGCCTGCCCCCTCGTACAGGGAGCTTCTCGTGCATGGCCTACATGCCGAGTGTGTTCTACAACAAGACGTCAAAGAGGTGCGAGAATTTTATCTACGGGGGATGCGCGGGGACAAGCAACCGCTTCTATTCCGTTGAGGACTGCAATGCTGCATGTCCCTGAACAACGGAAAACAGAACTCTGATGAACAGTTTGTCAATGTCAACGTCCTTATCAATTCAATGTCCCATGTCCCTGAACAATGGAAAACAGAACTCTGATTTATAGTTTGTCGATGTCAACGTCCTTATCAGTTCAATGTCGCATGTCCCTGAACAATGGAAAACAGAACTCTGATTTATAGTTTGTCGATGTCAATGTCCTTATCAATTCAATGTTGCATGTCATTGAAATAACCCAGAACTCTGATGAATAGTTTATTAGTGTCAATGTCCTTATCAATTCAATGTTGCATGTCATTGAAGTAAATTCGATGCATGGTATCTCGATGTAAGTTTATGAATGGAAACGTTTTGACGCATCAGTGGCAAAAATGATGTCGATTGCAATTCCCTATTGACTTGTACCATATATTCTCGTGTTGTTTTAGGTGAATAATTGACTTGCCTTTGCATGTCTTTTTGGTCCTAATTGACAGCCCTTATTGTCAGCCCTTAATGTCAATACAATGTTGAATGTCATAAACATGATCTTGAACCAGTAGTCTGTCAGTGGTATATTTGCAAATGTACACGTGATTTTGTGTTTTCTATCTCTGTTCAATGTTGCATGTCACTAAAATACACTCTTTGCAATTGTTTATCAATGTCGTTACGTTTTAAATTAACAAAAAGAAGATTTTGATTTCTTTATCCACTTGAATGGAGTCCTATTAAAGTTTTACTCTTTGTGCCGGATATACAGGTTTTAGCCCATAGGGGCGTTATGTCTGTCGCCTTTTTAGGGGCGGTCGGGTAGCCTAGTGGTTAAAGCGTTCGCTCGTCACGCAGAAGACCCGGGTTCGATTCCCGACATGGGTACAATGTGTGAAGCCCATTTCTGGTGTCCCCGCCGTGATATTGCTGGAATATTGCTTAAAGCTGCGTAAAACCATACTCACTCACTCACTGTCGCCTTTTCTTGGGATTCTTTGTCGTGAAATATGGCTGGATAATTGCGAAAAAACGGCTTCAATTCACATTCATTTATATTTAGGTTGTCCTTGAAACTACAAGCAATAGTACCAATGTTTACCATTATAGAATGGTTGATGTTCTTTATAAGTGTTATGGTCAGGTCCTTGAATAATGGAACTTTGGCTATCCAGTTGATTAACGAAAGCTTTGATTATTGATCAACCACTTACTCACTAACTTTTCATGAGACCGCCTCCGTGGTGTAGGTTTTGTGTGTTTGTTGTGTAACGCCGTACTCAGCAATATTCCAGCTGTATGACGGAGTCTGGAAATAATCGAGTCAGTGATTGACATCATGAGCATCGTTGCTTTCGTTCTTTCTCTTTGTTTGTTTGTATGTTGTTTAACACAGCGCTCAGCAATATTCCACCTATATGACGGCGGTATATAAATAATCGAGTCTGGACCAGACAATCCAGTGGTTGCCATCATGAACGTCGATCCACGCAATTGGGATACGATGACATGCATCAAACAAGTCTGGGAGCCTGACCACCCGATCCCGTAAGTCGTCTCTTGCGACAATTAAATTCGCCTTTTACGAAGTCCTTTTCTAACCCTGACCTTCAAGGGTGGGCCCAAAAGAGAAGAGGAACCTGTTGAATGTCTTTCAGTGAGTGAGTGGTTTTACGCCGCTTTTAGCAATATTCTAGCAATATCACGGTGGGGGACACCAGAAATGGGCTTCACACATTGTGCCCATGTCGGGAATCGAACCCGGGTCTTCGGCGTGACGAGCGAACGCTTGAACCACTAGGCTACCCGACCGCCCCGAATGTCTTTCAGAGTGGGTTAAAGAAGTGCTTGATGTTGTCATTGGTAGAATGCACAAACTGAGGATAAGAGGAAACAGGAACCAATACACCAATTGTAACACGTGTACCGAGTGGTAGGTTCCGTCCCCTGGTCGCGTCAGACGTTAAAACATGGAACCAATACACCAATTGTAACACGTGTACCGAGTGGGTGGTTCCGTCCCCTGGTCGCGTCAGACGTTAAAACATGGAACCAATACACCAATTGTAACACGTGTACCGAGTGGGTTGTTCCGTCCCCTGGTCGCGTCAGACGTTAAAACATGGAACCAATACACCAATTGTAACACGTGTACCGAGTGGGTGATTCCGTCCCCTGGTCGCGTCAGACGTTAAAACATGGAACCAATACACTAATTGTAACACGTGTACCGAGTGGGTGGTTCCGACCCCTGGTCGCGTCAGACGTTAAAACATGGAACCAATACACCAATTGTAACACGTGTACCGAGTGGGTGGTTCCGTCCCCTGGTCGCGTCAGACGTTAAAACATGGAACCAATACACCAATTGTAACATGTGTACCGAGTGGGTGGTTCCGTCCCCTGGTCGCGTCAGACGTTAAAACAGACAATCCAGTGGTTGCCATCCAGTGGTTGCCATCATGAACGTCGATCCACGCAATTAGGGTACGATGACATGCATCAAACAAGTCTGGGAGCCTGACCACCCGATCCCGTAAGTCGTCTCTTGCGACAATTAAATTCGCCTTTTACGAAGTCCTTTTCTAACCCTGACCTTCAAGGGTGGGCCCAAAAGAGAAGAGGAACCTGTTGAATGTCTTTCAGTGAGTGAGTGGTTTTACGCCGCTTTTAGCAATATTCTAGCAATATCACGGTGGGGGACACCAGAAATGGGCTTCACACATTGTGCCCATGTCGGGAATCGAACCCGGGTCTTCGGCGTGACGAGCGAACGCTTGAACCACTAGGCTACCCGACCGCCCCGAATGTCTTTCAGAGTGGGTTAAAGAAGTGCTTGATGTTGTCATTGGTAGAATGCACAAACTGAGGATAAGAGGAAACAGGAACCAATACACCAATTGTAACACGTGTACCGAGTGGTAGGTTCCGTCCCCTGGTCGCGTCAGACGTTAAAACATGGAACCAATACACCAATTGTAACACGTGTACCGAGTGGGTGGTTCCGTCCCCTGGTCGCGTCAGACGTTAAAACATGGAACCAATACACCAATTGTAACACGTGTACCGAGTGGGTTGTTCCGTCCCCTGGTCGCGTCAGACGTTAAAACATGGAACCAATACACCAATTGTAACACGTGTACCGAGTGGGTGATTCCGTCCCCTGGTCGCGTCAGACGTTAAAACATGGAACCAATACACTAATTGTAACACGTGTACCGAGTGGGTGGTTCCGACCCCTGGTCGCGTCAGACGTTAAAACATGGAACCAATACACCAATTGTAACACGTGTACCGAGTGGGTGGTTCCGTCCCCTGGTCGCGTCAGACGTTAAAACATGGAACCAATACACCAATTGTAACATGTGTACCGAGTGGGTGGTTCCGTCCCCTGGTCGCGTCAGACGTTTAAACATGGAACCAATACACCAATTGTAACACGTGTACCGAGTGGGTGGTTCCGTCCCCTGGTCGCGTCAGACGTTAAAACATGGAACCAATACACCAATTGTAACACGTGTACTGAGTGGGTGGTTCCGTCCCCTGGTCGCGTCAGACGTTAAAACATGGAACCAATACACCAATTGTAACACGTGTACCGAGTGTGTGGTTCAGTCCCCTGGTCGCGTCAGACGTTAAAACATGGAACCAATACACCAATTGTAACACGTGTACCGAGTGTGTGGTTCCGTCCCCTGGTCGCGTCAGACGTTAAAACATGGAACCAATACACCAATTGTAACACGTGTACCGAGTGGGTGGTTCCGTCCCCTGGTCGCGTCAGACGTTAAAACATGGAACCAATACACCAATTGTAACACGTGTACCGAGTGTGTGGTTCCGTCCCCTGGTCGCGTCAGACGTTAAAACATGGAACCAATACACCAATTGTAACAGGTGTACCGAGTCGGTGGTTCAGTCCTCTGGTCGCGTCAGACGTTAAAACATGGAACCAATACACCAATTGTAACACGTGTACCGAGTGGGTGGTTCCGTCCCCTGGTCGCGTCAGACGTTAAAACATGGAACCAATACACCAATTGTAACACGTGTACTGAGTGGGTGATTCCGTCCCCTGGTCGCGGCAGACGTTAAAACATGGAACCAATACACCAATTGTAACACGTGTACTGAGTGGGTGGTTCCGTCCCCTGGTCGCGTCAGACGTTAAAGTGAGTGAGTGAGTACGGTTTTACGCCGCTTTTAGCAATATTCCAGCTATATCACGGCGGGGGACACCAGAAATGGGCTTCACACATTGTACCCATGTCGGGAATCGAACCCGGGTCTATGGCGTGACGAGCTAACGCTTTAACCACTAGGCTACCCGACCGCCCCGTCAGACGTTAAAACATGGAACCAATACACCAATTGTAACACGTGTACTGAGTGGGTGGTTCCGTCCCCTGGTCTCGTCAGACGTTAAAACATGGTACGTCTTGTTACCTGTTACCTGGCGTTTGGTATTAAGGCGTGGGATATCTATGGTATAATTGCGGCAATAAGGACAATAAAACCCAAAAAACCGACATTAGTCCGGACTAGTACAAGCAACAGCCCCAACCCAACCCAACCCAGCCCAGCCCAGCCCAGCCCCGCCCAGCCCAGCCCAGCAGAGCCCAACCTAACCCAACCCAACCCAACACACATGCATGCACGTCGTTCTCTAAGTGCAATAATCTTAATCGCAACGATAAACTACACTTCATCCCAGATCACCTTCTCGTCATAATTAGGCCACATCAACTGCATGAGTAAGGAGACGAAGAAAGGTAGAAAAGTCAACATGTTTACAAATAATGTAGAAATACGCTGAACTATTAACGATCCTGCTGGGTGAGTGAGTACTGATTTTACGGCACTTTTCCCAATTATGGTGGGAAATCGGACCTTAGCTTTTGGCGTGGCGAGAGCAGCTTCACTGCAAGTTGGACAAAGCTTCCGAGCGTCTCCGGACTCCATCAGCAATATCACAGCTTTATAGCAGAGGCATGTAGTGGCCGATTCAAGAACAGACTATTGATCAATGGTTGTAAAACAACTACCCACCAGCTCACACACTGTAACAACCCATACTGTAGTCGACAATGGTTCGGTGGCCCTTCCAACCTTGGACCATGTTGCATAAAGCGATCTTAGACGATCGTAATTATCATACTTCAGCATTGACAGTCGTAACGCTAAGATCGCTTTGTAGAACATGGTCCTGGACAGAAATGCTGAACCGTAGTAACAAAAATGATCCCAATCGCTTGGATCGATGCTCATGATATCAATGACTGGATTGTCTAGTCCAGACCGCCGTCATACAGCTGTAATATTGCGGAGTGCTGCGGCGTTTAACAACAAACCAACCAACCAACAAACCACATGGAATCTTAGGACAGACCTGTTTTAATGGGCTCCAGACGTTTTTTGTATGTACATCAATAACTCCTGCAAAAATAAGTACATTGGTCACCGTCTTTCTGTTATGTTTAGTTGAACGTCTCGGTATCCCATAGGTTGCACCAAAAGGCAGTAGTTAGTAAAGTATTCTTTATTTACGTGTTGTATAGTCCCGTATGGTTTCCTTTTTACCACACCACAACATTATTCATTAACCAATAGTTTAAAGAAATATTAACGTTTCTTTAAAAAACATTAAACCCTCACAACAAAATTACCA